GGTGATGAACAGCATGTTAATGCTAATCAAAAGCACTTGATTAACTGATGATCATCTAATGGCAGCGCCTCCATACAATCAGAACAATAGATAAATTATACTTTGTTAGATGTTTTGCTTTTCAACTAAGTTTGATCTTACAGTTCCTCATCAAAGTCCACCTTCACACAAGTTAATAATTTTTCCATTTTTCATGTATCACAACCATAAAACTCAGTGTTTTTACTAGGATCTAATGTGATACACAAACACAAATGGAGCAAAATAGTAAAAGGGAAAAAAATGACAAACGTTTTTTTTTTTTAACAAATAGAAGTGTGCATTTTCATTCATCAACTTTAGCTCTGATAACCCTGAAGAACATTGATTGCCACTTAATAACTTAAAAAGTCAGCTCCTTAATAAATTACTTCCAACTTTTTTAACATCTGCATAAACACAACTGTTTTGAGCAAGCCTCGAAAGAGAAAGACTGTTGAAAAAAAAAAGAGAATCATGGAGACCAACGAGCGCTTCAGATAAGGTTGGGGTTTTGAAGAAATATTAGACGAGTAAAGCTTTTAACATCTCACCAAGCCCAACTTAATCAATTGTTTAAATATGTAAGTAACATGTATGGTTAGAACTCTAGCATAAGGGTACGTACCAGTAGTTTTATTTAAAACACCTTTAAACCCATCTCCATGCATATTTTGAACATTTTATGCAAGCAAATTGAATAGCATAAGGCCCCTAATATATAAAAAAAACATGAGTACATGCTTTCTGTTCTCATGGCTTGCTTTTATGTGCCTGTAGATTCTCTCCTACTTGCATGTGGGTCTACTTTTGTCCGCTCATGTCAACTTTTGTCACTCTCAGGTTGGAATCAACCATAGAAAGTACACTGCCTATGATTGGCTACTTTTTTAGAAAATCCGGCCTCTTGAAACAAGACTGTTTTCTTCCAAGGGGGGAGTTTTCAAAGGAGGAAGTGTTGGCCTAGCGGTTAGAGCAGTGCGCAAGTACCCGGTTCCATCCCCACAGCCTGCACTCTGGGTCCCTGAGCAAGACCTTTAACCCCACACTTAGCATATATGAATTTACAAATGTAATATCATTATCATTTAGGAGTCAGTTCACATTCAAAATTGTGTTACACAATATTATGTGACGAGCCTTCACCTAACAATTTTTTTTTACCTCTAACTCTGCATTCACACAGACAACTTTCTCCACAGTAATTTCCAACTGCACCACGGGCAGTTGAACTCTCTGCAGCAGACCGTGTCATCAGATAGGAAGTTTCAGCTCAACATAGTGCACTAAATTTAATGAGCAAGAGACACTTGTTTTGCCGTGGAGAGCCAAAAAACATCTTCAGCATTGATGTTCATGGGTCAGCCCAATTCTCAAGAGACGGAAGCACTTAGGAGAGAGTACCACAACCTAATTCAAGAGCTGTGCTTGCATGACAGTCAGATTTGGGGATATTTTCTTGTACCTGGGCAGATAGCACCAGAGCTGTGGAGAGGCAGTCATTGGCAAGAATCTTTGCTGGAAGTAGGACAACGAATGAAAAATGATTCACAGTCTTTTAGACGCCTGGTTTTAAAAGCCATCTTTATTTCATCCTTTTTCACCATTATCTTCTCTGTTTCCCGTTTAGTTTGAAAGAATCTTTGTCTTGGCTGCACTCCTTTAATCTACACAACCAAAACCAATCGCTGATTGGTTGCCATGACGCAGTTTCACCGAAAATGTCACAGTTTTCAACACCACTCAGCTCTGACCGTGCGAATAGGAATTCACCACTGCTTGCTTCACTGCTCTTACTCACGCCAGTTTCATAGGGATACCATGTAAATCCACTTGTCTTGCCACAGACATCACGTTTGGTACGAACGCATCATAAGAGAACAGTGATTAGTCAGAGGATGCTTCACTAACGTTACTAGCTGCAGCCAGGAGGAAAGCAGAACTGTTTCAATGGGAGGGATTTCTTGAAAGTTGCCAATCACAGACAGTTTAATATCTCCAATTGGCTTTTCCCTAAAACTAACTCGACAAGCTTAACACGAGTTCAAAGAAAAAGCTCAACACAGTAGAAAAGTGGGTATAGGCACATAAACAGCAAGCTGCGATCCTAGAGAAGGAGCGTGTTTTCATATTTGGAATTTATTGGGGCCATCATAGTATTGAATCTGCCCAGATAAATCCATGAGAAGACTAGTTTACGTACATGGGTTTTAAATAAAACTGATTTTGTTAATTGATTGAATTATAAAGTATTTTCATAAACCATTGATTATTTGTTAGGCATGTGCCTTTTTGGCAGAATTTTGGGCTAATAAATATTGCTAAATTTCAAACCTACCAAAATGTGACCATCTACCAGAATAGGGAGAGGACTTGATAAAAGAAAGTTATAATATATGCAGTTTACACCAAGCTATGTAGGTGACACAGCAAACATGAAAGAAGGAGCTCAAGTCAGATGCAGCCAAACTTTAAACTTTTTAACTGCAAGCAAAGCATTTCATGTAACAGACAACTAACTTTGCAAATCACTCTGAACAAACCATTACCACTGTCATGATGCTGCCACCATGAGTAGTGGCAAAAACTTTGAACTGGGTCACTAGTTTCAAACAACACGACTAAGTTCATAAGCTGACACCAAGCTTGTGCCTTTTTTATTCCCCTTCCTCTTTACCAGCTAACTCACTTTGGTTGTGTCCTTATCAAAAAATTTATTGTAGTTTATGGTTCAAAGGGGGTTCTGTGAAGAGCTGTTGATCGGTTCAGGGTGTACCCTGCCTTTTGCCCATAGACTGCTGGGGAAAGGCAACAGCCAAGGGTGACCTGCTGTACAAGTGACAGGAGCTAATTAGTTTAAGGTTTTTTTTTTTGTTTTTTGTTTTTTTTTTAAGTTTTAAGAGGTACGATAATCTTTAAAAGTATTGTTCTTATATTTATATCTAATTTATTTAACAATGAATGTTAAAAAACTGAGAGAATTTGCTTACTTTAAATAGTAAACGTGAATGCTGAATTTAGAGTTGGTAAAAATAATTAAAAACTAGTGTAAAACCTATAAGGACAGTGAATAGTTACATGTCACTTAAAAACTCAACAGGATAATTTAATATTTTTTTATTATGAGTTAATATGGCATTTTAAAAACCAGATAAATCAACATGTATTTGAAGAGCTGAAAACTGGTATGCAGAGGTCAGAACAAATATCAGCATAAGTATTCATGTAACAAAGACGCATTTTGGAAAAGGAAAAGGGGGAGTAAACAGAAATGGCAGTGGTCAAAACAATGGAGTTAAAGGAAAAAGAAAAAACAGCAGCCACAAACAACAATGAGCAAGGATCAAAACAAGGGGATGGAGCATTTTTAGAAGCAGTGGGATTTTTGTGGGCTGAATTAGATTTAAAAGATTAGGCTCTGCTGAATTTGTTTGATCATCATATTTGTTGTCTTTTGAGTCGCCTCCGATGGACCTAAGTCCTCAAAATGCACACATAAGATTACACATAAATACTAATCTCTAGTCGGGTGGAGCAAGTGAGAAAACGAGGGGGCTGGTGACAACAATAACAATACCTGTGAAAGATTATTTGCAAATATTTCCTTCTGACTTTTAACCGTGTCAAAAAAGCCGCCCAAATGTTGAAGCTTGCATTAGATTCCTTTAAACTACTGATCTTATTTATAAGGTCCTCTTTCTTTGTAAGAACTAAGAGTCACTTGGGTCGCAACAGAGCCCCTCTCAACCTTCTCAGCTTCAGCTTGAGTCTCACAAGAGACTGCTTTGCAGAGCAATTGTTTGCCAACTGGCTAACATAATCTTAAGTGTTCTGCATTTTGGACACACGCACACATGAGTGAGTATTTATGTTATCAGAGGAGAGAGGTGTTTTGAGAGGGTCTGACAGATAAAGGAAGGGGGGGGGGGGGGGGGGCATTTTGCTACATTGTTTAATGACGTCTCAGTGCAGACTGGCTTACAGGATGGAGAGGAGAACTGAGTTCACTTCAGTTCACAGGCAGACATCTGCATAAGTGCTAAAGCAGGCAATGACCTGTGTATGCAACGCTCCCTATCGGCAAGGAATGGTAAATATATGTATATTTTTGGTTGTAAAAAAGAATACTGTAATGCACAAAATGCGCTTTTGGTTCTACAAGCATATGATGTTGTAATGACGCTTTTATGAGGCGCCTTTACGCATGGCTTATGAGCAGCAGTGCGCACAGACAACAAGCTTTCTCCCTGACGGGGGTCCGTCTCATGAAGTGACAGTGCACCTCTATCGTTAAATAGACTGAGCCCTAAATTAGAAACCATTGTTTCACACATTTACAAGGAGCGACTGCGAAGCCTCCCGCAGAAAAAAAAAAAAAAAGCGCTCCAACACATCCTCGCATGAGGGGAAACCCTACATCTTGCAGTTCCGTCTCGTAACTCCGGTAGCCAATCCAGAGGTGTCGATTTGGTGATGGGGGGGTGGAAGGTGGTGAGCTGCGAGCTTTGAGCGCCTCCTCATATCCCTGCGATGGATCTCTCCCGTTTGTGTGGAGCGTGACGTGCTCGCGCACAAAGTTTTGACCATTACATCATAGCTTTAAAATAGTCGGCTCGGAGAAATTACATTTTACGCACAGTGACATCAGCTGCCGGTCAAAGGTGCAGTAGCCTATTACTGTCCTTATTCTTCTTGCGAGGTAAAATATGGACAAAGAACTAAATAGATTTGTGTTTTTAATAAGATTTGTATCAAACATATGCTCTCCCTCAGGTGGCAAACTTTAATGTGATAAAAATAAAAGTCTAAGATGCGTTACCTAGAATACCCACTACACTTTTCAGAGCATTACATCATTGTCTAGTCTGATAAATGAACTAATTGCTTTGTTTGACAGACAGCAGAAAATCTAAATGCATCAATCCACTTTTAATATTCACATTAGACTTTAAATGTTATAATAATAATAATAAAAATCCTACCAGCGATTACTGTGGGCGATCGCTGACCTCCCTCCGGTTTGATCCACATCTCCAGAGTGAAATTTCCCCTGGGTATCTCCACACCAGGCTTCAGCCGCAGCTGGTCTCCCCGGCCGGTGAAATAAACAGCTTTCCCCCGATCCGGAGAGTTTTCCTCAGCGTGAGATGAGCGCCGGCGCTGGCGGAGAACCCGCCGCTCAAGCCCGGGTAAAGAGCGCTTGCCCCGGGGCAGGCGTGTGGCACAAGCCCCAGGGATGGTGGCTCTCGCCTCCCTAATACGCACCAGCTCCCTCTTGGATCTCCCCTTTCTCCGGACTGTCCCGCACTCTGATCCAAAACACAAGATGAGAATCACCAGGCAAGACACCCAGGGTGATGTCCAAAGTTTCATTTTTCGGGCAAAAAAAAAAAAGAGAGAATAAAGAAATAAAAAAATGAAATAAAATTAAGATGAGTAAAAATAAAATAAACAAGTAAAGAACTGGAAAATATATATATATGTCCAAAATGTCCTTCTGTTTAGGATCCTCCGAGTTTTTCCCTTCTCTTTTTACAGCGGCAGAATGTCAAACCGTATAAACTGTCTTAATAAACCCATAAAGCTATGCTGTTTTTCCCTCTTTATATTGCTAAGCCACGACCCCCTCTCTTAAGCAAAACTACTCTGGAGACATTCAGGGGACACAGGAATATTTCATTCATGTATGTGTTCCACGGTTTCTTTTCAGTGGGTCCCATTTAGCCAAGGGGATGACTAATAACTAATCAATCAAGAGGGGGGTCCGGCAGATGCCCCCCTCAATCCCTCTGGAAGGTAGGAGTTACTCGTAGAAATCCACAGTTGTCCGCCAATCTCTTGTCACACCTTTTTGTTGTTTCCTTATCCTACTCGTAAAACAGCATAAGAAATGGCACACAGCCTGTTAAATTCCAAGTGACAGCAACCCGACCTCTCATATTTATTACAGAGAAAAAGATCAATCATAAGGAAAAATGATCATTAAAAAAAAAGAAATTCCCTTTTAGTCTGTGTGGCAGAACAAAAGTTGAAATGTATTATGAGATATATATATATATAGCCTATATATATATGTTAAGTCGCAGGAGAGGCAGAGGGACAGAGAGCTGCAGGACAAACCATCGCGCTCCTCCTGATTGCCTGAAGCTGATACACTTGGAGGAGAAGGAGCTCGCCGTCCGCATCCAGATACTCTCCAAACTCTGTTAAGTCATGTTTCAAACGTTCCGGGGTTTTCTCTCTGGGAGTGTGTGTTTGTGTGCGCATGTTGAGTGTGAGCGCGCGTGTTTTCACAGTCGCTCAGGTAGGCAACCCTCACTGGCGGCTCTTCCCTTAGCGTTACGCAGGGCTGATTGGAGTTTTGGAGGCGTATATGCATCCCTCTAGCGGTTACAGTTTAAACAATCCTACACTTGCACACGCCTCACAACAGGAGATCATTACCAAGCAGTAACCTGCATGTGGAATTTATTCCAATACAAACTTGATTATCTGTGTAGAAAAGTTTATTTATTTATTTATTTATTTATTTATTTATTTATTTATTTATTTATTTATTTATTTATTTTAAGATGTCTTCAGTCACAACACACTAGAGGTGGGAGTTTAAACAGATTTCCTCAGGTTTTAAAAATTGCTGACTGGAATGTTTAGGGAAGTGTTATTTCAATATCTGGAAAGAAGAAAATTGTTGATATAATTACTTTGTCATTGGCGCTCAGACCTCAGACCTCGGCAGGAAACATGGCGCTTAATTTTGATAGATATGCATGAACAGGAGTAAAGAATAGGGATGTTCCCCCCCAACCCCCCCCCGCAGGCTGGAAACTGGTGGTGGAGTGAAGATAGAGAAAGTTGGTCAGTCTGTAGACTGCTGGTTAGCAAGACAGTATGCTGAGCTTTATAGGGAGATCCAGTGAGGTGATACTAGAGCTTCACTCAGGGACCTTGAAGATGGAAGTCCAGTTGGATAACAAAGGTTGAGAGAACCTGTCCGTGATGAGCAAGCATGAAGCGAAAGTGGAGAGGAAAAACTCCACGTCGGGAAGAAACCTCTGGCAGAACAAGGCTCAACATGGTGGTCTTCTGCCAGACCGGTTGAGATTAGACAGGGAACGCAGTAAGAGTCCGGGAGGAATGACACCTAATGAACCTTTAGCTACGATGGTGGAGGAGGGGCTGGAGGTGGGTTGAAACGGTGTGATCTGAATGAAGTCACAGCACATCCACCGCCTGCACACAGGAGCAGACAGTGCGGATTGGAGGCCTTTTAAGATGAGCTTTAGATGCCGATCGGCAGGTGTGGTTCAAAACTGATTGGTTGTGTCGCAGGTGTAGGAAAGCGATTAGTATGGCTCCATATTTAGGAAATACATGCTATACTTTTAAGAAAAGTAAAATAATCATCATGGACAGGAGGAAAAGTTACTCTTAATCATAATAATAAATCGATTGTAAAACTAAATGCAGGTCATTTAGGTTAACATTTCATTTAACCAGTGGATTACCTATGTATTTTTTTAAGTTATTTTAGTGTTGTTAAGTTTGCAAATGATTGTGTTTGTTAAATTCCTGCTATGAAGTCAAATTTGCCTTTATTTAAACACATGGAAAAGTATGTAAACCGAAAGCTTGATATTTAAGATTTAATTCAGTTATGTCAGTTAAATTCATATTCCTTATACTCACACCTTGCCATGTTAGCCCTTCTTCTCCATTTGAACCCAGAATTTAACCTTTTTACATCCTTACACTATAATCAATTTCTTATTATTTTCTTTTTCATTACAAAGTATTTTAATAAACCAGAGAAAATTGCTCAAATCCCATTTATTTTTCAAAATTTTGATAATTTATTTTCTGAAGACTATAATACAGCCTATTTCAATTGATTATTGATCAAATCTCATGTTTGGGATAGTCAGCTGTCATAAAGTATGACAAACAATTCTTAGAACTATTCTTCTGATTTAGGTATGCTATATTGGAATAATATTACCTGTTTATTTCTAATTCACTTTAGCCACTATCATAAACCCACAAAGATAAACCCCTATCTGAGCTGTCCTTAGCTGTTCACAATTTAAGTGGTTTCTTTCACATGTAAGCTTTCAAAAATCAATATGGGACATAGAACCAAAGAAGGCATGAATTAAAGCCTGACATGGTTATCAAAGTTACAAAGCATTACTGCAGCTATAAGTGGCTAAAGCAATCTGTCTGTGTACTTTTCAGTGAAACCCCAACATTGTTTCTATGTCAAGAATTGCATGCATCAAAGTTTCAATGTGGCCTTTTTCAAGAATCCCTCGTTTAGCCAGTGGTTAATATTTTTACAGATGATACAGGGAAAGTGTAACTACCTTACTCAAAGGTATAGTGGAGGATTTTTACGAATTTTTTGAGAAGACCCGCCCTGTCCTCTTAAAAAAAAAATGCAGATGCACAACCCTGTATCCGCTCTCAAGAGGAAATTAAACGGGTGTGAGAGCATCCACAAGCCGATTTTTTGTGCACGCTCTGTTTAAAAGTTGCTGTTTGCATCGCTCATACAAGCTTACAATTTTTTCACTGTCAGACTCACCACCATTAAGTGAAAATGGGGACCAGCACGTAAGACGGCCTTACGTTAATATATCACCAGAATGATTGACAATTAGGAGGACCACTTATTTTAATGATCCACCTGGAAAAAGAACATCCTCCACTATTCCTTTAAAGTAAAAATGTTTTGATCTGATTCAGCAGGATAAGGAGGAAGTTGTGATCCAACTCAGAGAGATGGTTTATGCTGATTGGCTGGGAAAAGCTTTTTTTGTTGTTGTTGTGAACTGAAGTACTAGAATCAGTACACTGAAATGATTTGTTCAAAAGACCTGTTTAATGAATCATTCAACTGCAGCTTTGATTTTACAGTTCAAATGGGCTGTTGTCATATAATCTGCTATTTAGATAGCTTTATTTGCATTTCTTTACATTTAAATTAGGCAATAAACATGGCGTTAGTCACATTAAGTGTACTAATCATAGCTCTTCAACTCAAAACATCAGATGAACTTTTAAGGCTCTCACCTTATTCTATTTTGAAGTTCTGGTAGCCAGAAGTCAGTCTGCACAGATGAAACAATACAACTGGTAAAAAAAACTTAAGAAAATGACTAATTTCCAGATTACATTTAAAAGAACAATTTCATAAATCACTTCAATTGAATTTCCAATTCAATTCAATTTCCATGCTATGTCCGTCCTGTGTCAGGTATATCAAGGGAGTTGGTGAAACAGCATCACTCTCACTGTGATTTGCATACAACATGAACAGGGGCCTAATCAGGCCCAGAAATGTCCAATTCCTGCACTGGGTGAGTTAAAAACTCCTGACTCTCAGTGGCAGGTGGGGTAAGCATCGAATCTCAACTGAGTCACAGAGCGAGTGCATCACAGCCTGATTAAATGAGTGATCGCTGTCACAGCTTCTTACAAATCACTTACTGATTCGTACGGTACAAGAATAGAGGAATCCGTGCCGTTTTCAGTAAGCAATGTTTGGTGAATCACTCCACTGTAGCATGTTTCTGTGCTTTGTTTGTGTATTGTGTGCATTGCAAAACATTGAAAGTCCATCCGACCGACTTGCTTTGATTTTAAATAAACTGATAAAGTAACAAATCAGTTAATGATAGTAATTTGGTTTATTTCGTTCATACAAAGTTTATTTCAATTAGACAACATGTTCAAGACCAACCCCACAGCTGCTATCACTGCTGCTTAGACAGCAGTAGTAGCCGAAAGAAGAGGGGAAAAAATAGTAGTTAAGTTTCATAAATTCCTTTCTTAAACATGTAATGAATTTTAAAATAATTAAAAGCAAGAATATAGCCATGTAAAGCTGATCTGCTTATCAAGACAAGGCTGAATTGTTAAAGTGGTGTTTAAGCAGAATGTTTTCTCTGCATTGTTGTCTGCAGTCCCCATCTGCTGCCAGCTGACCGAGCTAACAGGCTTTCTAATCCACAAAATCTACCTCCTGATGGAGAGGTCGTCTCTCAGCACATAGTGGAAGTTGAGCACAGTTTAATTCACGGTTGTTGTTAGGCTTCATTCAGAGACACAGTTGTCACTGAGATTGATGGTTGAGATTTATTTGAAGCTAAATAACAGAGTGGATTTATTTACTTTTTCATGGCTAACTGGAGCAATGAATAATTCAGTCCTTCATTCATTTAAAGGGAGAGTGTGTAAATAATTTGGCTTTTTATCAGAAAAAATCACATATTGCTTTCAGAAATAAATACTGTAAAAGTCTAATAACAATTGCATCAAAAATAAAAGTGTTCCAGTAATTTAAAATGGAAGATACCATGTTGCGTTATCATCTCAAAATCATGGTAGCAGACAAACTAGAAGGTGATAAACATGCAAAGATGATCATAATATATCACTCTACTTGCCACTTTCTGTTGAAATGGAGGATCATCAAAACTCATTTTAGATTAGATTAGATTTAACTTTATTGTCATTACACAGGTAAAGGCACAAGGCAACGAAATGCAGTTTAGGTCTAACCAGAAGTGCAATAGCAGCAAGATGAATAATGGTTCCATAAATATAGGACATGGGTTTCTACTGAATAAGTATAGAGATTAATACCACTATAAACAGAATCTTACAAATAGTTTTGTACTATGAATATAATATATAGATCACTAGTATTATGAACTAAATTTACAGCTGGATATGTACCAAATATAATATACAGATAGATATTACTATAAAAAGGGTTTTGCCCAATGAGAGGGAAAAGAGAGTGACCCTGAAAAGAAAAAAAAAAATGTATAATTAGAAGTAAATGAGAGTATACATTATTGTAGATTTTACCAGATGTAGACAATTTGCAATTTGCAAGGTAGCGGGGCATCAAAATGGATGCAAAGTTTGCACACTTTCTGCTGGGTAGGTATAGGTTCACTATAACAGTGACGTTTATTTGTGCATATCTTCGAAACAGGGCAGTGTAAGCATTGGCAGATTGGCTAGTTTGTTTGTTAGCCTACACTTGAAGATATCTTTTAAAACAGTTATAATATGCTGTTATTCTTTACAGTAGTCATAACAGCAGGCGACTGCATGCTTCTCTTTGTCATAAATTATGAGAGATTTTTTTTATCTGTTTCATTGTTCATTTTAGCTCATTTGTTAAGGTTGATATGTGTTGTTGTC